GCAGAAGACATTTCTTGGCTACCTCTATAGTCACTGGCTAGAAGTTATTTCTATAAGCCTCTCAAACAGCCTCCCATCTTTGATTATATATGATAAAGACTTGGTAAAACCATCTTGTCTAGAAATTTTTAAAAAATTATTGATACGAAATTGTGCACGCATTAAATTTTAATACAATTGAAGCATATTTGGTCTGAGCTTATGTATAAAATATTATTGTTCGTCTAATCATCTTATATCGACAGCAACATCATGAATATGCCTTTCTGTCAAAAATTTCATAAACTAATGAATCTTCTTAATTTCTTAATAAAAAAAAAAAATGTTGAACCCCAATCTTGAGAGCTTTCACCGCCCTGCCCCTAGAGCTTTGTGAGGGAGGTAAATCGTAGGATGTGTTCCATCAGACCAGGAAACTAGAGCTGTCTGTACACTGCACCTACAAGGAGTCCAATTTCATGTCTTAGGAATCGAACCCTCACACTGCGGTTGCCAGCAAGGCGTGAGATAACCTCATTCCTGTTCTTTACACTACTGGGCTATGCCTATGCCCCGAGGGGCGAATCTTCTTAATTTCTAGCTTATAGATAAAGGTGTTATGATCAGATTTTTTACTGCTATGTTATTATGAAAGTCATGCACGTTTTAGGTTTTTAATGGAGAAAATAAATTTTACGTATAGTTATAAGAATGAAATCGAATTTAATTGAAACAACGTAAACTTTGGGGCACAAATAATTCATATAATTTTTGTCTCTTTCTCGAAACAGAAACTGAACGTGACTCACCTTACAGTTGTTTTGTATTAATAAAAATATTTAAGACAGCAAGTGAAGACAATACATTGTGTTTCAACGAAATTTTCTTTGAATAGTCCAAGAAATTTTAAGTGTTATTTATCTTGGGCTTTCAAGGGACAAAATGGACAATATAACAGAGTTATAATGCTATGAATGATTGGTTAGACTCTTGGCCTTAATTTCCACAAAAATAACTTATCTAAAACATGGACCGAGCTACATAATCCACGCGAGTGACCGAGTGGTTGACATAATACACACACATGGGGGTCGGGATTATTTTATTCATGGGGAACCCACGTCGATCATGTGCGGGTGCGGTCACCCAGAATGTCAACAGCACAAATCGTTTGGCTTTTCTCTTTATATAATCAAAAAACGAATAGGGTCATAATTACTGTAAAATTTTATTGCATCTTTTCAAGACAAAAAATTAATATACATTATCTCATTGTGTTGTTTTCAAAAAGTATTGCGAGGTAGGTAAGGCTTCTTGAGAGTATGGTCAAAAGGGTAATATAGAAGTTCATGCAAAAAATAAAATATAAATATATAAAACCTTAAATTATGTTAAGGGATAAATTTCATATCATTTAAATATATGGATTTTATCGATATCTAAGGATTTGATCTATTCCTTTTAAGATACTGTCATTTGTCATTTTAATAAATTTTGTTAAGACTCAATCAAATAGCACATTTATATTAAGATTGATGTTCTCAAATGCGTGACCATCTTGTTGTGCATATTAAAGGATAATCTCACATTGTATAAGTAAAAATATATAAAATAAAAATTAGCCAACATAGAAAGATTTATAAAACTCCTTTTAATAAGATTTTAAGTTGAATTCCAAGCTCTTATATAGTAGTTAATATTCTTATATTTATACGAGAATATAATTTTCAACTTAAAAGCATGTATCAAAAGTGCCGATAAACAATTTAAATGATTAGTCGATAAAAATGAGTTGTGGATACCATTTGTGATCGCTCGAAATGAGTTGAGTATTTATTAAGATGAGCCAAATATTGGCTTATATGTTACTTAATTAATAACTCTTTTATATTATCTCTCTTAGATAAAAGTAAATATTGGATCAAATTTTACTGTGAAACTGTCTATAGCTAAAATTATATTATATATTGCACTTAAAAATTAAAATACTATTATTTTAGACTGGAATAATATTCTCTAGACCAAAACAGCGAGTTGGCTGGATCTTCTGATATCGGCAGGATATGATATGGAAGTGATCAATAAAATATGGGCATCAATGGTTGTGTTTAATTTATGATTTGTGGTCCTACGTTAGTACCTTTTGTCGTAGCCTTAGTTGATTGTTAATTTCGATTGATTTTGCTATTTGTACGTAAAAAATATACATAATGAATTTCATAATATGATGTGGAGGGAAAAAATTGAATGAAAAAGTTGATTCTGTTTTAAACTAACAATGGTAGAGTGCTATGTAATATTATGTAATTCACTATATAAATTTTGATGTACATGTAGCAAGATTTCGATAGCATTAACTGATTAGGGTTTTGACTCAAACTTACATTTCTGTAAGTGTACATGTCGCCATGTTCGAATGGCTATTGACCATACATACTTTGGAGCTATCCAATAATTGTTTGTATTGGGTCAAAACTCATTTGAGGTCTTTCAAATCTTTAATTATTTGATAATTGCTCAAGTCTCGTAATTTTTACGCTATTTCCTTTTTTATTTTTTGTATTTCAATCCATATTCACTATTTTTTATAATTGAAAATTTGTTATAAAGCTATTATGAAAGGTTGAAGATTAACTCTATAATAGCTTTAGTCGTGGACCCAATTGTTGCATGCTTGTGATTATTATGAAAGCCATGTACACGTTAGGTTTTTAATGGAAAAAATAAATTTTACAAAAGAATGAAAATCGAATTTAACTGAATAAAAATGATTCAACCAACGTCAATTATTGGACAACGTAAACTTTGTGGCACAAATAATTTATATAATTTTTGTCTCTCTCTCGGAACAGAAACTGAACGTGACTCACCTGACAGGTTTTGTATTAATAAATAATTAACACAGCAAGTGAAGACAGTACAGCGTGTTTCAAGTAAATTTTCTTTGAATAGTCCAAGAAATTTTAAGTGATGTTTCTCTTGGGCTTTCAAGGGACAAAATGGACAATATAACAGAGCTTTTTTTTTTTTTTTTTTTTTTGGGATAACGAGGGAACCCACAGCCGCTATCTTTGGGTGCGTACTTGGTAAACTCTCGGGTTGACGCAATAACCTACAAATCACGCTAGCCAGATAAACCATACTAGACAAGTTCGGTGCGACTGGCCCAACTAAGAAAGTGTTGGTAGGGGGAATCGAACTCGTGATCAAAGGCCTTCGCGTTTACCTACTACACTAATTCGATCACTCCATGAGGAGCAATGCAACAAAGTTTTAATGCTATGAATGATTGGGTTAACTCGTGGCCTTAATTTCCACAAAAATAACTTATCTATGTTTTATATAATAAAAAAACGAATAGGGTCATAATTACTGTAAAATTTTATTGCATCTTTTCAAGACACAAATTAATATACATTATCTCATTGTATTGTTTTCAAAAAGTATTGCGAGGTAGGTAAGGCTTCTTGAGAGCATGGTCAAACGGGTAATATAGAAGTTCATGCAAATTTTAGATTAAGAGATAAATTTCATATCGTTTAAATATATGAATTTTATCGATATCTAAGGATTTGATCTATTCCTTTGAAAATACTGTCATTTGTCATTTTAAGATGGAACTCGAAGAAGTAATAAATCCTATTAAGACTCAATCAAACAGTACATTTATATTAAGATTGATTTTTTTAAATGCATGACCATCTTGCAGTGCATATTAAAGGATAATCTCACATTGTATAAATAAAAAAATATTAGCCAAGATAAAAAAAATTATAGAACTTTTAATAAGATTGATATTTTAAGTTGAGTTACAAGCTCTTATATGTTAGTTAATATTCTTATATTTATACGAGAAATATAATTTATAACTTAAAAGCATGTATCAAAAGTGTCGATAAATGATTTAAATTATTAATAAATAAAAATGAGTGCGGATATCATTTTTAATCACTCGAAATGAGTTGAGTATTTATTAAGAAGAGCCAAATATTGGCTTATATGTTAGTTAATTAATAACTGACACGAATCTTTCATATTATCTCTCTCAGATAAAAGTGAATATTAGATCAAATTTTACTGTGAAACTGTCTATAGCTAAAATTATATTATATATTTCACTTAAAATTTAAAATACTATTATTTTAGACAGGAATAATATTCTCCAGACCCAAACAGCAAGTTGGCTGGATCTTCTGGCATCATGTGGTTGCGCTAATTTATGATTTGTGGTCCTACGTTAGTACCTTTTGTCGTGGCCTTTCTTGCTTTCTAATTTCAATGGATTTTGCCACACACACACACACACACACACACATATATATATGAAAAATATACCTAATGAATTACATAATATGACGTGAGGGAAAATATTGGATAAAAAAATTAATTCTGCTTTAAACTGATAACGATAGACTGTCATGTGACATTATGTAATCCATCATGTAAATTTTTATGTACATGTAACAATATTTCAGTAGCATCAACTGGATAGATTTTGACTCGAACTTGCATTTTTGTAAGTTTACATGTCGCCATGTTTGAATGGCTATTGACCATACATATTTTGGAGCTATCCAATAATTATTTGTAGGGAAAATTACTACAATGGTCCCTAACCTTTTCATTTTTTATAGATTTTACATTAACCTTCATTTTGTGCCAACGAAGATTCCTAATCTTTCATAAACATGCACCTGAGGTTCATCTAGATAGAAACCATCCAAAATACAGTTAGTTGACTAAAAAAATTAAGGAATCAACATCCAATAAAATCGTCGCGATAGCAGATAGTTTAAGAAATTTTCCCGATCAACGGACGATGTTTTGGACGATTTCCATCCAGATTAATCTCAAGTGCATATTTATAAAATGTTAGAGACATTCACCAGCACAAAATGAAGGTTAGTGTAAAATCTGAAAAAAAAAAAAAAATTACGAACCACTACTGCAAATTTCCCTTGTTTGTATTAGGTCAAAGCTCATTTGATGTCTTTCAAATCTTTAATTAGTTAATAAAAAAAAAAAAAAAAAAACAGCTAGACATTTTCAATTTCAGAGACAAACATATATTTACAACTATGGGAGAGACAGCTTCTCATCCATATCACCAAAATCACCCCTAGTAACACACAGATTTCGATTCTACTACTTAAATCATTTCACACCAATACATTCAAGGCTTGCTATACTTAGAGTCGGATCAAACGTGGTAACGACATGGAAATTTTCACATATTCATCATAATACTGTGATATTTTCAGATTATCTTACGTTATTTCCATATCATTAACACAAAATTGAGTCAGCAATACTAAAGCATCCTCAATGACAATATCACTTGGAGAAACTTTCTAAAAGAATGACTAACCAAGTTCCAAGTACAAGGTAGCCTCCATCAATTTTCATCACAGCATAAAGGAATGTTGCTCTCACTTCGCACTTTATTCACGTCTTGGCAAGAACAAATGAAAATCCCTCTCGCCGTGTTACAGAATTCCCTACAAGAAAATAGCATTATATCAAATGTGTATGTTTGACTTGTGGTTTTACTTATTTTTGTTTTTCTAAATATACTGTTCGGTGGTATCTAATCCACCTTAGTAATTAGTAAACATGCACAAGGTTCCAGTTCGAATATCATCATTTTGACATCGTTGAAATAGAGAGAATACTTACGGCCATGGATCATCTCCCATGTGCATCACATCACCTTTGTCATCCATAAAAATAATATCCCATTTTTTTGGGGGACAAAGCTCCCCCTTGATTCCTAACATCCTTTCCAGTTCGCTTATAAGCTCGCCGTATCCCTTCAATGACGTCAAGTCCACCTCAAAACGTAATGTGACCCCTTGCATATGAACCTTCTCAAAGGAATACGATACCGAACACATAAACTATGGATAAGTACATTTCAAGGCAGTTCGTGCTGAATCACGAAGACATTATTTTTAAGAAAGGTGGTTTAGAGCAAGTTTGGCTAAACTTAAAACATTTATTAACAGATAGATAAGTAAAATTTTCAAATAAATAATTCTTTTATTGGTCTATGTTGGATAAGCAAGTTACTTATTTAGACCGTAAATAAAGAAATAATTTAAAAATAAGTAAGAAACAAATAAACTTATCCAAACATGTTTGGAAATAAAAGTTTACTTAATAGTAACTTTTTACTTCTTTTAAGCATAACCATACATGCTTATCAATCTTCTGATCACCACATACCTTGGTGCAATTTCTGGAGGCCTGATTTTCTCTTTTTTGAACATCTTTTGTCAGAACTTGCGACCGGTCTTGCTTTGACTCTTCGGAATCCTGTGAAAGACAAGATTTCTGTTCTGAATCACCTGAAGACAGTTTACTTGAAATGTATTCCTTGCAAGCATCACTTGGTATATTGACTGGTTTTATCGTAAAATTCTCATCAAGGACACCTATCGAAGGACTGATCAAATTGACCCCAAACAATCGGCAAGTTGCAACATTAAGTGACTCCCTCCTGTCATTCATGTAAGGCACGAGACTATTACTTTGTTTTCCTGAATGTGTGGTTAAGTTGGAAAAAACCGACCTAGCTGAGGTACTTTCACTTTTTTCTGTTTCTTCAGCAAACACGTTTACAGAAGTGTTTACATTACGATTGCTGCAGTTTTTATAATGTATACTCCTCTGTTCTTGGAGAGCAAGATTTGCTTCATGTGAATTATGGGAAGGATTCCAGACAGCTGACGTTGTCGAGGTCGGATTTTCTACACATAGTACAATAACAAATAAACTAGATCACAATGTAGACAAACATAAGAGGAAAAGGTTGAAAAGAGTTTTAAGGGCATTTTAGTTGGACATGACTGGACAGTACCATGGATCGACAAGATTTAAATTTTCTTTGTCTTCGTTCATACCATCCAGTGCAGTACAATCTGCCTTACCATTTCAAGTGACAAAAGGCTAATCTAACCTGGAACTGAGATTTCCACATGTGATCGAAACCTTTTATGCTTCGTCGTCGTTGATTGAACCAGGCTTGTTGGCAGTGATACAACAAATGGTTCTATCTCCCACGGGGAAACCCTTTCAGGTCTTCGAATGGATGCAGGTTCATCCCACCGAACCTTGGGATACGAGAAAAACCAAGTTAAATTTCAATTTTTCATAATATAGATTGGAAGTGAAAGATCAAAAAAAGAGAACTAAGGGTAATTGGCACAAAACGTCCCTACATTTCAGATCTATTGTGGAAAACGTCCATACTTTTCATTTTTTGACATTTTTGCCCCTATTTCCACATTTCTTGGTCCTAAACGTCCTTTTCACCAATTTTGGACAATTTTACCATTCATTCAAATAAAACAAAAAGAAAGGAAAGGAAACAACAAATAACTAATTGCAACCACAGTCCCCAATTTTTAAAAAATTACAAATGGCATCCAATTTCTGTTCCTTCTTCTTTAAGTGTGTGAAGAACACCATTTGACTCCAAAATTTGGCAAACGAGTGCTGTAATTTCTAAAATTGAATGATTACCCAGTGTTTTTTGAGCCTGAATTTGAGTTTCCCCAGGTTGATGCATATGTTGGGACTCATTAGACTCACGAATTGATGGAGAATTATCATCTTCAAGCGGCCACACATTTCGTGAGGCCAAATCCAAAATTGTTGCATTTGGCTGATGAATTGAAGCAATTAAATCATATCCAACGTTGTTTGACCTTCAATTACATGCTGATTGATGCAATTTGTAGATTGGAGACGTGGAGGGATGCCAATTGAAAGGGAATTGGACCGGTTTCTATGCGTGTCCACTGTTTCTAGACGAACAGCCATTTCAGCGCCAAATTGGGGAAGACCCATATGCTCAGTAGATGCGCTATGATGAGTAGTGTCCTGTGGTGGTGGTCGGCGATCATGGGTCCCACCACCGTCGTCGAAAAATGGCTTTGTCGGCCGCGAGTTCATTAACTCGAAAATTGATTGTTTGCCGTAATTGGAACATGTATGGATGCGTCTTGGTGAGATTGAGCAGCATGTGGGTTGTATGGAACATGAGCATCCATGGATTTGGTCGAATTTGCAATAACACCGTGTGTGAGAGGCGGTTTTTGAGCAAAATTTTGCTCGATTTTGCTGGGATTTGGGGCTGGGATTTGCATAGGGATGTTAGGGTTGATGAGGAGATGGTGGTGGTGTTAAATTTCGGTGGTCTTGGTGGCCGGAAATTGGGTTCCATGGTTGTTGGCACCTATGTTGAAAATTTTGTACATATTTGAGACTGATTTGTAATCTTTTAAAAATTGGGGACCATGATTGCAATTAGTTATTTGTCTTTTCCTTTTCTTTCTTTTTGTTTTATTTGAATGGAGGATAAAATTGTCCAAAATTGGTGAAAAAGACGTTTAGCGCCAAGAAAGATGGAAATAGGGGCAAAAATGTCAAAAAATGAAAGGTATGGACGTTTTTCACAATAGACATGAAAAGTAAGGACGTTTTGTGCCAATTACCCATAGAACTAACCTTCAATGATCGCCATACCAAATCTTCCCAATGCGGAGAGAAATCTTCAACACCAATGATTGTTCCTGAAAACCTGAGTGTAATAGGAGGAAGTAGAGACAAATTTTAGAAACTAATACTACACAGTTCATAATCAGCTTTTGTGTATGTTTAACAACCTTCTCTCAAGAGAATCCTCTCCCTCAAATCGCATCTTGAATCTTGAGCCAACTTCAAAACCATGATTTACAGCATCTAGATAATTGTTCAGGCCTATGATGAATTGACTTGTTCTGAGAAGTTTTCCACGGAAGATATAAGAACATGCTTGTCCAAAAAAGACTTCTTATACATAAGTATAATAGTAAACAGGGTATGTGTATAAGACCTTGGCTTGTAATAAACAACAAATATGGTCTTGGTAGAAAAGGCATGAGATGCAGTTGCTAGCACTCCTAGGTGCATGCTCTGACTTGAAATCACTGACGATGGCATTGAGCTCCGATAATGAGTATGGCGTCTAACCCCAACACGTAATTCTCCTTTCTCTCCCCTAGAATCAAAGTTTACAAAGTAAAAAAAGAGAAAAAAATGATTTATTTATTATTATTTTTTTTTTTTTCCAAAAACATTAGTGGTCATAACTTATCCCAAGCAAATATCCACGAGAAACAAATACCTTAGAAATACAAAAGAATCCCCAG